CTAAAAAATAGTTTTTTTTTTTTGAGACAGAGCCTCAAGCTGTCCCCCTGGATAGAGTGCCGTGGCATTACAGCTCACAGCAACCTCCAAGTCCTGGGCTCAAGCGAGTCTCCTGCCTCTGCCTCCCAAGGAGCTGGGACCACAGGCGCCCACCACAGCGCCCGGCTATTTTTTGGTTGCAGCCATCATTGTTGTTTGGCGGGTCCAGGCTGGGGATTAGAACCCACCACCTTAGGTGTACAAAAAAGTAGTTTTAAAGGATAAAAGCCCCACAACAAGGCTTGGTGCTTGTTGCTCAGCAGTTAGGGTGCTGGCCACATGTACTGGGGCTGGCGGGTTCGAGTCTGTCCCGGGCCTGCTGAACAATGATGACAACTACAACAACAACAATAAAATAGCTGGGCATTGTGGCCAGTGCCTGTTATCCCAGCTACTTGGGAGGCTGAGGCAAGAGAATCGCTTAAGCCCAAGAGTTTCCGGTTGCTGTGAGCTGTGATGCTACAGCATTCTACTGAGGAAGACATAGAGAGACTCTGTCTCAAAAAAAAAAAAAGCCCAATAAGAGGTATAAGGCCAAGGTTAGAAAATCTAGACCTAGCAAAGTTTGTTTTTATATAAAATCATCCTAGTATTCAAAAAATTGGAACCTGTGTACAAGGGCTGTCCAAAAAGTAACCATGTAATATGAAAACTAGAGACATAGATGGCTGGATACTTTGTGAACCGCCTCATATACTATTGGTGTAAGAAGATAAAATGTCACAGCTGCTATAGAAAATAGTATGGCAGGCCAGGTGCTGTGGCTCACCTGAGGCGGATGGATTGCTTGAGCTCAGGAGTTCAAGACCAGCATGAGCAAGAGTGAGTTACTGGACAAGCAAAAATAAACTTTATCAAAAGCAATTTTCTTTTTCAAAAGCAAATAGTTTTATAGAGTTTAGTCAAGCAAAGCCTAATAATTAGAATCTGTGCGACTCTATCACTATAATCCCAGACTAGCCATAACAGTCTTTAGCTTCACTTTAACTCTTGACAGGAGGTTGGCCTTAATTTTGTGGATAATAACAGAGTCTAGTGCACACTAAAGTAATATCTGATTCTTATCAGCCTCTAAAACATGAGAACAATACAAACTAGAAATGTAGGTTCTTAGTATCATCTATCCACCTAAGTTTTAGGTGTTATGGGATGGGCGATTACATGGTACTTGTATCCCCATGTATTAATGGATTTTAATATATCATAGTTCCTAAATAATGAACATCAACATCAAATTAATATTGTGCCTACCTTTTATAACTTCCTAATATCATGTATCAGAGGGTCATAATGTTAGTACTTAGATACTAGTGTGAGAATTACTTGTAAAACTAAAATGTATGTCATAATTTTAGAAATATCCTCCAGTCAGAAACTGAGAAGTTAACATCAAGTTGCTTTCAGTGGGAGAAGAAGCTGGAATTGGACATTCCAGATGATGGTGAGGAAACAGTTTTCAACCAGTGTCTTACATTTATTTCTTTTAATACAGCTACATTTATCTGAAATATAACAGCAATCTAGTGTTGTCCAACTTTATAGTTTTATTACTGCTCAAAATAGCAAGAATTTTTCTTTTTCTTTTTTTTTTTTTTGAGACAGAGTCTCATTCTGTTGCCTTGGGTAGAGTGCTGTGGAGTCACAGCTCACAGCAGCCTCCAACAACTCTTGGGCTTAAGCAGTTCTCTTGCCTCAGCCTCCTGAGTAGCTGGGACTACAGGTGCCTGCCTGTTTATTTGGTTGCATTTGCCACTGCTGTTTTAGCTAGGCATGGCCAGCTTCGAACCCGCCACCCTCATTGTGTGGGGCCGGCGCCCTACCCACTGAGCCATAGGCGCTGCCCGCAAGAATTTTTATCTCAACACCTCTGTTCTAAAATCATATATGGGGTAAAGAGTATAAGTAGTTTAGAATACTGACTGTTATTCCTTTGTCTTAGACATTTGTTTATTAGCTTTTTTATATGACTTTATGGATGATGTCACTACGTGGTATAATTTATACAAAAATGTTTTCTGAATGAAAATTACTTAAATTGATATGTAAAAGATTTTTCTGAAAAGTTCCTTGATCTTATATAAAGCTATTTAGAAAAAATTATTTTTGCACTGTTAGTCTGAAGTTCTTAGATACTTAGTGCATCGAGTTGTTTGAGGTTGCACATGAGGGAGGAAAAGTAGGTTATTACTTACACAGCAGTAAGGAGAATGAACACTGCAGAGTTAGAGCAGGAATTGAAGCACATAGTTAACACTGTGTTTGTATGACAACATTTTGTGATAGATATTTTTTGTTTTGTTTTGATTCTGTGAGGATATTAGGGGTAAGGTCTTACCAGTTGCCTGGCTTCCAACAAAGGTCCTGTTTTATCCTTTAACTTTACAAAACCTCATTTCCTTTAGCTAAAGATCTTATTCGCACAGCAGTTGGTCAAACAAGACTCCTTATGAAGGAGAGGTTCAAACAGTTTGAAGCACTAGTGAATGATTGTGAATACAAACGAGGTGAGAAGGAGACTACTTGCACAGATCTGGACGGATTCTGGGATATGATTAGTTTTCAGGTATGTGGTTAAGTGTTTCAAATGTATTTTCTTTTTCTTTCTGAAAACAGTAATAGTACTAAAATGAGGTAATAGTTGTTCCTTAGTACTACCTAAGATATTAGAAAGCCTTTTAATTATTTATTTTTTAAAAGAGATAGTGTTTTGCTCTGTCACCAGGCTGGAGTACCGTGGTGTAATCATAGCTCACTTCAGCCTTGAACTTAGGGGCTTATGGAATCCTTCTACTTCAGCTCTCTAGACGCTGAGACAGGTAGGTGCATGCCACCACACTTGCCTAGAAAGCACCTTTATAAACTACACACAGGGCTGGGCTCAGTGGCTCATGCCTATAATCCCAGCACTTGGGGAGGCCGAGGTAGGTGGATTGCTTGAGCCCATGAGTTCGAGACAAGCCTGAGCAAAAAGTGAGACCCCATCTCTACTAAAAATAAAAAAACCGAGGCAAGAGGATCACTTGAGTCCAAGAGTGAGGTTGCTGTGAGCTGTCACGCAATGGCACTCTACCGAGGGCAACATAGTGAGACTCTGTCTCAAAAATTAGAAAAAAAAAAGTATCCACATTCTCACCATACCAAATTAACCTTTGACAACTCTGTGGGCATATTTGCCACCAGCATTTTTTTTTTTTTGAGACAAAGTCTCACTATGTCACCCTTGGTAGAGTGTTGTGTCATCACAGCTTACAGCAATCTCAAACTCTTGGGCTTAACCAATTCTCTTGCCTCAGCCTCCCAAGTAGCTGGGACTATAGGTGCCTGCCACAATGCCCAGCTATTTTTTTTTTTTTTGTAGTTGTTATTGTTTTGGCAGGTTTGGGCTGGGTTTGAACTCGCCAACCTGTATATGTGGCTGGTGCCCTAGCCACTGAGCTATAGGTGCCGAGCCAGCATTTTTTTTAATTAAGGTAAAATCTACATGTAAGAAAATGAATCTTAAGCCTTAGTGAGTTCTTTTTTTTTTTTTT